CACGAGCCTGCACTCCGCTACCTGCGAAAGGCGGAACACGTGGAAAGAAAGAGAAAAACAATAATAACAACAACGAAAGAAGAGCGTAGGTTGTCAATATTCCAAGAAGCGAGGTTGGAAGTCGGAAATCAAGAGGTGAGCGTAACAAAATGAAGATACTGTCACGTAAGTCAGGTGAAAAGGGAGAGAAATGGCAAAAAAAAACGGTCATAAGTCGAAGATACAAGTAAAATATTAGAAGGCAAGCTTGCATCAAGCATGGGTAATACCTTGCCTTCCTTGGAGAAATGCTTCTCCAGCTCCGCCTCTGCCGTCCGCATCGATAGGCCGGTCACGTAGAGGTTGTTTCCAGGGTTCCTCGACTCGTCGCTGAAAACAAACAGGTACGAAATGAAGGAGAAAATGTATCAAAATACAATAAGAATAGGCAAATCCGAAGGTTTCTCAAGGCGAAGATTGCTCGTAAACTAGAATTTGCAAAAAGGCTGCGACAGTCAACGAGGTTGTAACGAACGGAGAAAAGAAGGCGACGTGTGACCGTGATAATAACGAATGCGAGGATGTCCCTATGCGGCGCACTCTGGTTCTGGACTCCTTGGCCGAGGGCTTCGCATCCGGGGGCTCGCGCGTCTGAACGGCGGACTCCGGCTCCGCCCCCTTATAGGACTCCTGGACCGACGCCTATAAGGACTGCGACTTCTGCTTCTAACGGGACTCCTGACGGGGCTTCGGCTGCGCCGGCGAATCGGGCTCCGGCTGCGTCCCCGCACCGGGCTGCGACTAGGGCTTCGCCGCTTGACGGGACTGCGGATAGGGCTGCGGCTGCGGCTCCGCCTGCGCGGAGACGGCGACCTGGACGGCATCTCGGGAGGTAAACCTAGACGTACGTCGTGAAGGCTAGAGTTACTTACGGCAAGAAGCCTGCAAAACTTATGCAAGATTCCGGCGAGAGAAGGATTACGAACAAAGTACAGATAAAAAAACTTATTGCTAGCCAACTAAGTTGGTCAAGCCAACATAACAGTGCTACAGTCCTATAGAGAGGAGTTCCATTCCATCCATAGTTCAACCCTGACCGTTCAGTGCGGTTCAGTACGTTCTAAGAAGGTGGAAACTCTAAAAGTTCCAACGCACCGTTCGAAACTGTTGAACGTGAGGTGAAAGAAACCTGTTGCGGTCCGTTGTTGGTTTGGGCAGAAGTGTGGCGGCGGGAAACCTGGGCGAGGGGAGGGATGAGTGCGGGCGGGACCATGGGGAATGGGGGAAAAGGTTGGGTAGCTGGGGAGGGAAAATTGGTTCTGGGGAGGGTGGTCGGGGGGGCATGTGTGCGATACGACTCCAAACCAGAGTGCGAGTTTCTTGCGATAAGAGTCAAGAGATTGCTCAGGTGTATTTGTTGTTTCTACAACAACGACTACGAGGTCGTCCAAAAACGAGTATGTTTTCTCACACCCCCCTACTTCCCTGAAGCAAAACGTCAACAAGCATAACAGCAGCAGATTTCACGGAGCAGGAATATAGCCGCCATTCGCGGAGAATTTGCAGCGCAGGAAATTGTCCGAATTCCACGGGGCATAAATCTATAACGATGTCCGGCTTGCCTCTCAGAACTCGATTTTCCACGAGGTTTATTTTTATCATAATTGTGCTGGTCGCTGCATTACCTCTTGCTTCCGCCAGTTCTGCAGCATATTCTACTGGTTGGAGTAACCTTCTTCGAGGCAAGAATTTTCGTCAAGTTGCAACGCCTGGCGACACGTCGCGTCGTCACGATAGGGTTCCCCATGGAAAGGGTGTTCATAACCGAGTCGGAGATCAGCTGACGGGAACATCGAGCCGCGGTGGGACTGATCCGGCGGGATTTGCGCGATGGTTGGTTGCGCGCAGCACTTGGGGAGTGCTCAGGTAGGTTGGTGGGAAAACACGGGGATAAATCTTGATGCGCAAATTACGGGGGAAGCGTTTGGGGGCTAAAAAAACGGGTGCTAAGCACGTGGGGAGTACTAGATTTGCGGGAATCATGTAGATGATTAGGAATTGGACTGCAGAGAAGAGAGATTGCTGCTGGAGATTCTTGTCACACGGGAAATACTAGCACGGTTTGCTCCTTTACAGGAAGCCTTTTGTAGGAGGAGATTTGCCGGTTATTTCCCTCAGAGATTCCGAGCAACAGAATATTTAAGGCAAAGAGGTTATTGTGACAGTCTGAGAGTTAATTCAGAAGGTTTTGTTCTATCTCTCCCCTCCCCCCCCCACCCCCTTCCCCCACCTTCCCCCCTCCCTCCCCCACCCCCTTCCCCCACCTCCCCCCCTCCCCCCCCCCAAAAAGAACTTCTTATTTGTTGTGTGCTCTAATTTCATTCTCAATTTCATTATTTCCTTCAAAATCTGGTGTGCAGCACCATTTCTCGACACCTAGACGGCTCACCATTTGGGTAAGCAGTTTCTTGCATTTTAAGACGATAAACAAATCTTTATCGTTCATGTCTCTAAACAAGGGTATTCTCCTTGACAATTACCAAGAACTCTCCCTCTTTGTTTTCTATAACTCAAACCAGCTCCTCAGTCTGTACTGTATTCCTTCCCATGGTGGTTCCTGTCGTTTCAGCAACGTGGTTTCCTTCAGTGATGGAGCTCTCGGCAACAACACAGGTGTGTTTTGTATGCTCCTAAAAAATAGATCTGCACAGGTGTGCCTGAGCACCAAGGAAGCTCAGGTGGTTTCCTTCAGTGATGGAGCTCTTGGCAAATACACAGGTGTGCTTCCTTTGGCTTCTCTAATGGAGGCGCCTCTTGAGGCGATTGGTGCCTCAAAAGTCCTCTCAGTGATGGAGTTAACGGCAACTTCAGGCTCTTAAAAAACAGGTATGCTGTTTAAACACCATGGTAGCAGAGGTTTGTAACTACACCGCATTCTCACCGTCGAAGTGCATGTTTGTACTCACTCCCCACTTGCTAGTTGGCGGTGTTTGTATCCCCCCCCTGCCACTCACTCCCCATGCAGTTGCTGCAGCTTTAGCTTGTTACTAAACGCAATCATTTCTCAAACCCTACGGGTTGTTTCAATCACCCCCCCCTATGGGTTGTTTCAATCATCCCCCCCCCCTACAGGTTGTTTCAATCATCCCCCCGCTACGGGTTGTTTCCATCATCCCCCCGCTCAAGGGTTGTTACAATCATACCCCCCCCACACCCTGCTTTGCACGCCTTTCGCTTTGCCTTGCATGATTCTTTTCTCCTGTCTCTTTTTCCCCCAGGGACGCCCTACTTCTATCTCACACCGTTGGATCCGTCTGCTGCTGACGTGGCAGCCGATCCTCGCGCCTCATTGGCTGTCAGCGCCATGCCTCTTGGAACTTGCGATGACGCGGACCCGGAAAGCCCGCTCTGTGCCAAGCTGACCCTTTCGGGAGAGGTGTGAGATGGTGGGGTGGCTGCGTGAAATGGCGTGGCGTGGAGTGTATGTGGGGTGGGTTAGGTCAAAAGGTGTTTCAGTCGAAGTGCCCAACATGTAAGTGCTCGCATTCTCCTGACTCGGTACTCATCAACTGACTGGTATACTCACACGTTGAAAGCCCTCTCAATGCACCTCATTCAATCCCCATGTCAGCCCCTCGCCCCACTACCCCCTCCCCATGTCAATCCCTCGCCCCACTACCCCATCTCTCTCATGGTCGCTTCGTTCACCTGCGGGTGGTTTGGCGAACCAACCTCCAACAATCTCCATGTCAACCTCCCCTCTCCTCTGTTCAGCTGCATCGAATGCTCGACCCCGAAGAGCCCTCATTCGCCGAACACAATCCCTTATCTCGACACATTCACTCATGTCAATCCCCTCCCCCGCTTTTCCATCGCCATGTCAACCCCCCGGTCCTCTCGTCTGTTCAGCTGCACCGAGTGCTCGACCCCGAAGAGCTTTCATTCGCCGAACACGCCCTCTTCACTCGACACCCCGAGATGCAGAGTAAGGCTTTTCTTTCCAGCTGATTCACTCTCGCCCACTCCCATCCTCTTCCTCCCCCCACGAACCCCATGTTACTCTCCCTTTTCCAGGTTACATGGCTTCCGTAATTCTTCCAGTGACTTGGATTAAGGTCATTAATATTCTCTCCGCTTCTCTCTCTCCCCTCTCACAGCTTGGCCCAAGGACCACAACTTTCACGTTTTCAAGCTTGTCCTCGCTAATGTCTTCCTCATTAACGGCTTTGGTGGACCCAGGCACATTACCTTAGAACAGTACTACAGTGCATCGTCTGACATTCCAGTATCGAAGCTTACGGTATGATGGCCTAAGTTTCTGGACCTAGTGTGTAATTCCTGTACATTTGTAGATATGGTATGACCACACCACTAAGAAAATCTGAACATCAAGGTGGGCATCCGATTGTTTAGCGGTGGAGACACATCGAATAGAAATACCAATGTTCAAGCCTGTTACATTTCAATGAGAGCAACCTTACATCGCAACCATAAATGAATGCAAACAGCACACCAGAAGAAATGAAATCAAATGTGCACCTGGCACGAGCATGGCACGGCATACCGTCTTGTTCACCCAAACCGAGATGGCAACAAGCAATTGCCTTCTTGAGGTGTCGCCCATGGCTTTTTACTACAAGCCCCTGCTTGTAACGAGTCGTTACTCGCTACTACAAGCCACAGATCGGAATGAGTCATTGTAAGCTTGTTACGTGGCAATATTTGTGCTACATGAATTGGAAAGCACACTATTTTGTGTAGGGTTGACCACGGCGTTACACACCAACTGAACCTGGCATGTGAAAAAGAAGAAACAAAGAGGAATACAAGACAGGAGACGAGAAGGAATGTAAGGATTAGGTAGATGCACAAAATTTGTCGACATAAGGAGTGTGTGCACGGTGGTGTGTGCATTATTGTGTGTTTATAGTGGTATGTGCATGCGGGTGTGTGCATGGTGCTGTGTGCCTGTCTGTATAGTGGTGCATTAATGTGTTACATCCATGGTTTTGTGTGCTTACATTGAAAGCTGGTGTGAGGCTCTGAAGGATCCGAGTCCTGGCCTTCAGATTAATCACAACCTGCAGGACATTCCCGAATCAGATAAGAAGAAAAAGAAAAGTACTTGTTTGGCAAAAGTGCGTGAGATGGATATCACACACTGAAAATGCATACGCACAAGAATCGGAGTGAAATTTTTGTGTGAAAAAGGCATTTAGCAGCCAACCTTCAAAGGTAATGCACCCACTGGTACGGTGGAGTGTTTGTTCCCTCACCCACCTAAAGTAGAGTTGAAGCTCGCCATTTGCGAGCCTGAGATAAGGCTCTGGTCAGGCTTGACATTCAACCCAATTGCCCGAGTCTGCGGGCCTGAGATAAGGCTCTGGTCAGGCTTGACATTCAACCCAATTGCCCGAGCAGGCTCTGGTCAGGCTTGACATTCAACCCGATTGCCCGAGCCTGCGAGCCTGAGATAAGGCTCTGGTCAGGGAAGATTAGCAGCTGAAAGTGCCCTATTGCCTGAGTGTACCTTCCAGCATTTACCCAGCCCTTACACACACCTGAAACTCAAGCTCGCCATTCGCAATCGAGCCCGTGATAAGGCTCTGATCGGAAAAGGAGAGCAGCGGGAAGTTGTCAACGTTGAACGGGACTGTGATGGTGGCGCTGCTGTTAGCAGGGAGAGTGAAGTTCGGGATCTGCAGGTAAATACATATGGCATGGGAAGTGAATGTGTGAATGAGGAGAATTAAGGTGCCAGCCAAAATCACCAATCTTCACAGAGGCTGTTTGCAACTGAGAGAAGTCGGGGATCTGCATGTGAACAGCACGGGGCGCGGGCATGTGGAGTAGGAAAAGGAGAGCAGCGGGAAGTGTTGTCAATGTTGAACGGGACTGTGATGGTGGCGCTGCTGTTGGCAGGGAGAGTGAAGTCTGGGATCTGCACGTAGACATGGACATGCACATGGCATGGCAAGGAGCAAGGGCGTGTGGGGTTGGTTGGCAGGAGCTGGACTTGTGGAGGAAAAGGCTAGGAAAACTCTAATTCCAGTACATGTAACATTGTATATTTGTAAATTTGTTGTACATTTGTTGTATATTTGTACATTCGAATCTCACGTTAGCGTAGCCGACGTCGACGCTGTAGAAGCTGACGTCCATGTTGACCTCCTGCGCGATGATTTCGATGGGATTCGGATTCGACACCACCGCCGCGACGTTGATCAGCGCGGTCAGATCCAGGCTGACCTCCTTGAACGGCTCGAGGCTAAAGCTCCACGAATCGGGGCCTGAAACGGACAGGTGGCCGTTTTGGAAGTCCACCCCTTGCACTGACAGGTCCGGAGGCTGGTGAGAAACGAGGTTCGGGAAGAAGGAAGAATGAGGCACGTTAGGGAGTCGACACTAGGGCAACAAGAAGGAATTTGAATTTCCTTGAACGGCTAGAGGCTGAAGCTCCAGGAGTCCAGGCCTGATAGCGGCGTGTTTTGAGACGTCTCAATCCAGGCCTGATAGTGGCGGCAGGGTCCTGTCTACCTTAGTCAGGCAGGCAGGGATGTGCTCCTGTCCTGACGTCAGAAGCACGAAAGGATTACCTTGATAACCGTCTTCGCCTACCTTGATAAGCGCTGCAATCCGGCTTAGGATATCCGTAGGTCCCGAGGAGTTCGAATTTGCGGGTGGGGCTTCTGGTGGCGTCTGGGGTGCTGCTGGTGGTGACGGTGGTGGCGATGCTGGTGCTTCTGGTGGTGGTGGTGGGGGTGACGCTGCTGGTGGTGATGGCGGTGGTGGGGAGTCTGCTATGTAGTCATACGGATCAGTGGTGGTCCCGCTCTCCACTCCCATGCCATACACTCGTCCATCGACAGGTGTCAGCTCTGGATTCGCCAGCTGCTGCACTGCTGACGTGTCCTCCACTGCACCCCCAGGCTGCTGCCACGTGGCAGCGTCCCATGATGAGGTGGCGCCTCCTCCGTTTGCTGAGATAACGCCGTTGGTGTTGGGTTGAATGTCAAGCTTCGCAACAACAGTGCTCACATTCCCCCACCTTCCCCCGATCTGCACCGTCCCTACCAACTCCCCCTGCTGCTGCTCCTGCTGCTGCTGAGTCAGCATCGCGCCTGCTGACGTGGCGTTGCTGGATTGGTCCGCGGAATCCTGGCACTTTTTCTTGCTAGCTGTCACGCCGATCGCGACCGCTGCTGCTATGAGGAGAGCGAGGAGGATGAGCGCAGCTCCCCCCGCTAGCAGCGCGCGCCTCTTGCGCTCCTTCCGCCTCTCATCCTCTTCGATTTCCGATAGGCGCAGGAAGATTGCCTGCTCGGCTGACTGGTTGGGGGGAAAAGAAAGGGCAGGACGGGAGGAGAGTGAGGAGGCCGAGCGCCGTCCCTCCCGCTAGAAATGCGCGCCTCCTGCGCGCTTTCCGCCACAATTTCCGATAGGCGCAGGAAGGTTGGCTGTTCGGCTGACTGGGGAAGGGGAATTCGGGGAAGGATGGGACGAGGGGAGATTCTCTTGAGCCGCTTCAAAATTTGGTCAAAAGCCGCGGGGGGGAGCGGAAGAGCGGGGTGAGCGGAAGAGTCCCCGCGCCTCAAAACCTGAGATTTTGAGGCGCTTGGGGAAGTAATGCCACCTAGAGGCTCGGATGTTGCGGCATCCGGAAACCCGTAGCGTTCGAGTGATGGTGGTAACCAGGCGGTGCATTCCAAATTCCGACAACCGCCGGGTCGTCGTTAGGGCGCCTGTCTGTCGATTTGATGCGAAACCAACGGCTGCGATGGTTTGGAATGACGGCACCGCATCGTACGGGGTTCGAGGGGAATGCGCTTCGAAAATAGCGCCGCGGAGGACATTCCAACGGTAGCCGTCTAGGGATGCCGAACCGCGGAGAAAAAAGGTGAGGGGGGTGAGGAGGGGGAACGGGGAGGATGTGGGGAGTGAGGGTGAAAAGGGGGCGGGAGGCGTTGGCGTCTGTTGTGGGAACACGTACGAGTGCCTTCTGGTTGCCCACGTCAGCTCGTTCTCCCTCCACCGTGGCAGTAACGAGGTTCCCCTGTCCCGCTTCCACGTCCTCCCACGTAGATGGTCGCTCAGAACACGGCGCCATCAGCGCCACGTGTCAGTCGCGAGTGACGGTTCACGTGCCACTTGTCAGTAGACTACGCCCCACTATTCTGTCCAAGAAGGAGTGTCTGACATTAACAACTAGCAGACGCGTAAGGTTATCCGAAAATATTTCAGAGCCTTCCCAACGCTAAATCGAGCAACGCGAGGATCGACATTCGCTAAATCCAGCAGCAGCTGAAGCAAGGAGTGACGAATGCGTTTATAGCCCGAGGAAGTGACGTACTGAACCAGCTACCTTTTCGTGGCGCGGAGCGACCGTACTAAAACGTGGCGATAGGGACTAACTACAGTTGTGTGTCCTACGTCTCTATTTCACCCTGGAAATAGTTCACGCGTCTTTTATGTCGGTGGCTCGGAGACTTGTGTGCTGTAGCAGACGAACGTGGGGTGAGGTGGACATTTTGTCGCTCACACTAACAAGCCGGGTTTTGTGCTAAGCGGAATGATTGACGCACGGCTATACTGCAAAGTTGTAATTTTAGAAAAGCACTTTGGTAAGAGGGAGAGGGAAGAACTCTCTCTGTACTGTAAATGAGAAAACGTTTTCCAACCTGAAGGACAGATGGTTCGGCTCATTTCGGCAACTGGCTGCCAATCAGCAGCGACGAATCGTGTCGCGAGCCAACGTGTTCTTTCTGATTGGCTGGATGGGTTGTTGGGGCGACATGGCTGGTCGCATTCCATCAGGTGACGGCTTGAAATCCTACGACCGCGGTGTGGCCGAATGCCACAATCTTCGACGACTATTGCGACCATTTCTGCGATGGCGAATCGGATCGCCCAGAAGTCGGTTCTCAGCGACTTATCATAGGACTGTACACAGTTCACTTGATAGTGATTCAAAACAATTTGAAGGCTTGGTTTCATCAGCACCATCCTTTACTATGCAGTGTATCATTTCAACTCAAGCGGCAGCAATTTGATGTGACAAAAACAGACGGGTGCAGCTTCAGCCATAGTAATACAGCCTCCTCAAACAGCACACGCAAAGGAAAACACATCTTATCATATGGGGGCCCTCACTCACTACAACTGAATACACTAAATAAATAAACTACACTTGTGTAGGCTTGGCTCCACATTCCTTCTTGGTCATCACATCCGCACTGGGGTCCACCGTCATGACACACATCACGGTGACCTGTAACACAGCATTGAATAGAGGGAAAATCGTGTGAAATATGTGTGAAGACATATAATGCGCATGCCTTCCTTCCACACGACTTTGCTGCATACAAAACGAGGTTGTACAATGTACATCTTTTGTGCACTATCTCTTACATCTCACACACTTTCACTGCTCTCACCCTATTAATCACTGCACTTCACTTCCTGTGTATCCTGAAGTACTCACATTGTAAGTGGGAGAGGTGATTCCCCATACCCTCACTTTGCCCTGTGTGTTGATAAAAGTCTGATGCAGAAAAAGCGGGAGAAATCAGAGAGGGGATCAGGAAGGGAATTCGGGAATGGTTTAGAAGTAGGGACGAGGGAGAGGATAAGGGAAAAGATGAGGGAGGGGATGAGGATGTTACCCACACCACACCCTCACTTTGCCTTGTGTGTTGATAAAGGTCTGATGCAGAAAAGCGAAGGAGAGGGGATTAGGTAAGGAACTCGGGAATGGTTTAGAAGAGGAGATGAGGCAGTGTATGATGGAGGAATGAGACGACTCCACACACCCTCACTTTGCCCTGTGTGTTGATCAATGTCTGATGCAGAAAAGGGAGGAGATGAATAAGGGATGAATGAAGAGAGCAAGGGGATGTGGAAATTTCCGCCTCTCTCACCTGCATTTTTATTATCCGCTCTTGCAGCAACTCATGGTTCTGAGGCTTCTGAATGTGGGCGTACATAGATCGAGCAGTGGGCAAGTGGGCTTGTACCTGCATCTTAATTTTGCGCTCCCTCAGAGCAGAAGCGATGGGGCTCCTGACTTGCACTGAGGAGGACGTGGAGAGCAGTGGGAAGCTCTTCACCACGATTGGCACGGTGGCGATTTTTGTCTGCTTCTTGCCCAGTTCGAACGCTGGCATCTGGCAGGGGAGGCGGAGGGGGCATGGGGGAACAAGAGGTGATGCTAAAGAATGCAGCAGTCATGTGATTGCATGGAAGCTACAGTAGCAGTAGCAGCTACAGTCGAATTGATACGGCAGAGCAACATACAACAAAAAGTATAGGAAAATAAAAAACAAAAACAAAAAACAAAAAACAAACACGTACCGAGATATTTGAGACATGGATGCCAAACAGGTAGATACCCATGTTCATGAAATTGACGATCCCGTCGAAGCTGTTCGGATTGTAAACGCTCGCAGTCACGTTAACATGCGCATTCAAATCTACCCGCAACCCTTCAAAATTGTTCTGAATCGCCCTTTGAATCTCGCCCCCGATCCGCGACAGGTCTTTAGAGACCTCCCTAGAAACGTTCCTCCCAGCTTTAGAAACCTCTTGAGTCACATTCTTGCCGATTTGACTAACATTCTTTCCGAGTTCAGAAACCTCTTTTCCAAAATTGGAAAGCCGGTCCTGAAGGGTCTTCCCGAGGCTGTTGGGGTTCTTCAGGTCTAGGTTCGACAGGTCCAGGTTCGGAATGTCGAGGTTCGGCACGCTGCCAAGGCTGGGAACTGAGCCTCCGAGGTTCGGGACGGTGACCATGCTGGGGTCTAGGTTCGGCATCTTGATGGTTTGGGAAGGGATTGAGATGCTCAGGCGGACTATATCAACGCCCTCTACAGTCAAAACTGGTTCCTGTACAGAGGGGGAGGGTGGCGGGGGGAGAAGGGAAAGAAGGGGAGAGGGGGAGAGAGGGAAAGCTGGAGAAATTTGGTGTTTGTTTTGTATGGACGTGTGGGTGCATCAGAGCGTGGCAGGCCCACTCGGAGTGTGTGTTACACATGTGCAATGGTTGTAAGGATGCAGGGACTTGACACGTCATCATTACCTGTTGGGTGAGCGAGAGGAAGAAGACAAGCATTGTGAGTCCAATCCCCGTCATGACCACCCCAGCGCCAATCCCCACCCAGCAAATGATCTCCCATTTCCCGCACCTCCTTCCCCGCTTCCCCTTCCCCGTGCCCTTCCCCTTCCCCGCGCCCTCCCCCTTCCCCTTCCCCCCTTCCCCCCCCTCTTCGCTCAGCTCCGAATCGCCCTCCATCGCCTTCGCCTTCGCCGCGGCGGCTTCCGTGGCGGCTTCTGCGGCGGGGGAGGGCGACGCGAGCGCGTCACGGTCCGAGTCGGGGAGGTCGAAATCCGCGTCGGAGAGGCCAGTGGAGTTCGAGTCCGAGTCGCGGTGGGAAGCCCGTCGATTATGCACCATAGAGTCCACGTCAGCAGCGGCCTCCACGTCGGCTTCGTACGCTGAGTCCGCGTCAGCGTCTGTCGAGTAATCCGAGCGGCCCGACGCCTGTTTCGCTAATGGCGACTCGTCCGCCATCTTTGCGGAAAACATCATCCTGTTGCGAGGCTTGGCAAATTATATCGGCGAGGATAGGGAGTAACCGGCGAGACGACTGGCACTACTGGTTGCTGCGGAGGATTAGTAACAGATGACGAGTCGCTACTTATTTATGTCTCTAATGAAACGTCTGCGGAAAGAATAGGGTCATAATGGAAGTGCCATTCCCCTACATTCGTTTGTCCTTTTCACTCCAAAGGCGCGTTCTTTCGGAAGAAAAGGAGTAAGTAGGCCGTTCGTCAGTTCCGTCAACAGTATTTCATTCTGTCCTTCAGTACAAGTAATCTCTCCCTTGGTCTTACCGCTAAAACTCTCTCCTCTAGTCCTGCAGAGTAATATCTTTGTGCCAGACTTGCAGCTGCTTCGGAAAGCAGCCCCCTGCGCTGAACACGATCTCGGCTAGCGACAGTCCGCCGTACTATACCGCTTCCCAGCCTTAAAAAGGCGAGCCAGAGGCTGTAGGTGTAAGGTATGCGACTCGAAGCACCGCCTACTAGGCTGTCGAATATCGAACTAAACCACGTATGCTCCCTGCTTGGGAATGCTAGTTTGTGCGGTTCGGCGGTGGCCCTTGACTCACCGAGCTTCGCCGAGTTGTGGTTGGGCTCATCCCCGGATTTTAGTTGGTAATGCGGTAACCAGAAAAGAGTTTGGGCAGAAAAGAAGGGAGAGGAGTGGTTGGGGGAAAGGTGGGTGTAGCTAGCTGGCCGTGCTTGTGACATGGGGTTTTCAGCGGTTGATCCGCTTGACCGCTTTTGACCGCACCGCATCCACAGAAAAGTTGTGATGTGGTTTTCCGATGTGGTGGAGGGAACCGTGGCGCGTGGCGTCTCTGCGAACCGAACCGTTGGTTAGTGGCACCTACGCCTACGAAGGGGCTAGTTTGATGCGGTGATCGAAACGAAGTGACGGCGGACGACATGGGATTGCGAAGGAAATTGGTTTGTCTCTGTGCTTTCTGTTCATGGAATCGAGCATGTATCGTGTTTGTTATTGGTCTGCGACAAATGTCAGCATGTATGCATCGTTGCTATGACAGCTGTGTTTCCGCTAAAACACGCTCGCTATCGAAGAGTGACTGGTACAAAACGTGATCTGTACATAACCTTACTGCTATGATGTTCCTGACCATAGAAAAAGTATGGCATCTTTTGAAGTCAGTGCAGGAATGATCAGGGTGTCCATGATCTCAGACCTTTTTGGCTTTGCTAACACAGTCCCTTGTCACCGAATTCTTGCCTGCAGCAGGGCTCACCGTTGCATTGCAGACTACTCCGACCTGCATCCAGAATAAAAGGTCAGCGAACGTTCAATTATCCAGCTGTTAAGTACCTAGTATAGACTTGGATGCACAAAGCAAAAACACACAAACAACGTGCCAATTTATAAACCATTCATGCCAAGGGCCAATATATGACCGAACCCCTCGGCGTACCTTGTAGGTTGGTGAGGAGAAGGCCCAAACCTGGGCTTTACCTTCGGCAACTCCCAATATCTGCAAGAAGCATAATTCAGCACAACGTAGCACAATATCAATTGCATGGAAAGATGTCATATTGTCAAGAGCAAATCCGGCAAACAAATACCATGATAGAGGCGAGTCTAGCCGGCGGCACCGTACTAACCTTCATCTTGAGCTTCTGAGCCATGAGGGAGTTGCCAATGACGCTATCCTTTCCAAGAGACACCAGCGGCACGTTGACAATTTTCAAGGGCAGTGTCATGGTGATGTTCTGGTTGCTGGGGGATCTGAACTCGCCCAACTGAACAAGATTAACACGGACATGAGGGGAAAGGATGAGGAAGGTTGAAAAGAGTTGTAAAAGAAATGAGTGGTATATCCAGCTGAGCTGAGTCCGTGAGCCTAGACAGTGAAACTATTAAGTGAGAGCCAAAAATCGTGCAAGTTCAACTCACCGAGACATTGGAGACGCTTATGTTGAAGAGTGAGATGAACAGGTCCAGGTACTTCACTTCAATATCGTATTTGTTCGGATTTAACACGTTTGCTGTAACATTAATGAGTGCGTTCATATTGAGGGTGAAATTGGTCGGGTCGGCCAGCAGGCTTCCAAGATCGTTCCCGAGATTCTCCAATGCTCCCCCTAAGGGCCTCCCGAGGGCATCCCCGATAGTAGCTCCCAGCCCGCCAAGACTCGTGGTTAGGTCACTGTTGGTGCCTGTGCCGTTGAAATTTAGCCGTACAATATCTACCTTCTCAATCCGGATCACGGGAGGCTGGAGGACGGGATCGAGGGAGGGGGGAAAGAGGGATAGGAGCATGACAATAAGACAGGCAGATATACAGAAATGTTCCAGAAGAGATGTTGGAGGGGGTGGAGGGGGGAGGGGGGGGGAGGAGGAGGGGGAAGTTGGCACTTTTTGTTGCTCGCAGGGTCACATCAAATACAATGTAACGGCACAATTTCATGGGATAAAGGTAACTTGATAGTGTTCGTAAAGGGTTGGTAAACTCACCTCGGGCTTATAAGTACATGCAACAACGAGCATGGCGATTCCCACGGCAGTCATGAACACGGAGAGGAGAAGACCACACGTTACGGCGATGTTTTGCCACGTGCAACAACTGCGCTTCTGCTGCTTATGATGCTGCAGCTTTGCCTGCTCCATTTCATACGCGTCAAAGCCGGCTGTGTCAGCCATGTATTGCTTCTTCTGCACAAGAAAGAGGGAAAATGAAGGCGGCAAGAGTGAAAGAAAGAAAGAGATTGACAGTCAAGTACATAAGATAGGATTATAATAAATAATGGTTTTGATCCTCTCAGCGACGCACTTCTAGACCCTAAGTGAGCACGGGCGTCGATCGGGACTAGCGAGCCTATTCAAAAGGCACGGGCATGGATTGCGCACAATTCACTGTCCAGGAACCGCTTTTTAGACGTCTCAAAAGTGAAGAAACGTGCAGTGAATGGGGACAGTGTACTACAAGCGTCTGTGACTCTCGTCGCGACCTTCAATAGAACTGGTGATGAAGCGTGGTAGCGTGGTGATGATACAGCTAGAGCGATAGAGCGAAATGTGGGAGAGCGAAGAGTGGGAAGGCGGAGTATAAGGGAGCGACGGGTGACAGAGAGATGCGGAAGATAAAGAATGAGACGAAATTGTGCGACGCGTACTTACAATGAGATTCGAGAAGCTACAGTAAAAAAAGGACCATGACACAACAGAAAAGGGACAAAAGGAGAGAATCGTATGAGACAAAAGATGTTGTCTAACGTACGTAAGGCTCTTCGAGGTCGTCAGTTATGTCAGTGTATTTCTCCTCCTGATCCACGCGTGCAGAACTGGTTCTGACTGGGAGAAAGTCGTTCACTCCCATCGTATGCCAGTCTCTCCGTTCTTTTAGTGCTACAAGAAACGGTGATGAGATTGAAACTCGAAAGACGGCGTTGGGATGGAGGAATGAGGAGGTACTGATGCAAAAAAGGTTTGAGATGCTATTTGGAGAATGGCTGCTAATCTCTAAATGCTACGTCACGAGCTGCGAATAGCAGGGACAGCAAATACAGGAACCGAAAATTACAGTTGATAAGCACTGTTTGAATATCACAGCACTTTCAGACTGGACAAACCACTCTCAGGGAACCGAATGCGAACTACGTTGCCACGGCAGAGCCTAGGACCACCGAATGTAATCCGAAATGGCTAAGCAGTGTGGTTACTACAGAAGCTAGACACCTACATCTGCGAGCGACTAGTACTTGTTAGGAGTGTGTCCTACCAACTTCTTGCGAACTAGGTGCTGGTTCTGCTTCTGGCAGCTCGAGAGGGCTTTGGGAACGTGCATTGGTAGATACTACCTCACCACCCCACTCAACCGTTGTATGTAAGAGACGAAACTCTTTCACTCTCACGGCACCTTTCTGAACCTGCTGGCGTGATGTACTCGTTTCTGAGGCAAGCAAAGAGCAACTTCATAACGGCTTTCTTCTGCCGTGCGACTTCGGAGTTCGCATGGTTCGAAAAGTCGAGCATGCTCTCTCGCTCTGCGACAGCTGGAGGAGCTGAAGATCGTGAAGGGCGATTCCAGACGGATGCCAGAGAGCAGACTTTGGTCGGTACCAGGGGAAAAGTAGGGGATATCAACTGAACACCAATGTTTGCTCCAACGAACATCGTCTTCCCCTCGCAGACCTCGTATTCCTTCGTATGGAGCGGAGCCTGATGATGGCATCATCGAACGGCTGACCGACAGATCCAGGGAACTTGATTGGATGCGAAGATACCACCAATGAGCCACACTACGCAACCACCTCATTCTGATTTTGGCGGGGGGAGGAGGCCACAGCTGGGGACGGAGCGCGCGGTACACCCAAACCTAGGTACGGTTCTGGCAGTCATCGCGACTCGAAACCGTGTCAGTTCACCCAAACATCATTCGAGACGCGACCGACAGTGAAGCACCGACATTTCAAACCATTGTGTGGTGTGTAGTGCGGTTGGAGAAAAAGTGTGCTGTGTGAAGTGTGGTTTGAGGAATCTTATGCTAGTTAGGATGTTGCTACTGCATTTGATCCTAGAGCTGAACCCCCTTAAAATATACGCTTCATTTTTTCTGAAAATAAATATATACCACTTATAAGCACGGGACATGAAAACAATGCATTGGGCTGGCATTGCTAATTGTTTACGCTTTTGATCTGGTCTTGAAACATTTCTGACGAAAGATCTGGTCCCCCCCAAATGGATCCACCGTGATATTGCACGCGATGAGGAGCTGCAACAAAGATGAAAGGAATGTTTTTGGTAAGTGTCAGTAACAAGTCACATGTGACATGCTGCTCACAAAATGGCCGGTTACGAACGCAGAGGCACGTGCACCACTTACATTATATGATGGTGTTGCCATTCCCAAAATTTTCACCTTGCCTCTAGAGTCTATATTGAGCTGTAAGACCAGCATGGGTGACAAAAACCAGGGGAAAAGGATGAGGCGAGCGCTGCAATGAAAACAATGCAATACCATAAAATAACATCCATAACGCTTCAGTATCCCACCTTGACATCCACTTGTCCCTTGCGGAGCGATGTAGTAATGAGGTTGTCCTTGTTACCGGTAGCAATGACCGGAAGATTCTTGATGGGAAATGGAATGCTCAGTGTGATGTTTCCCTTCTTTGAGAGCTCGAATCCGGGGATCTGGTTGATATGGGAATAGGATAGGGCAGCCAGGCATGTGAGAGCCAAGGTGAGGCACTACGGTTGGAAGAGGTGAAATAGGGAAGATAGGGAGTAGAGTAGGTGCCACAATGGACATCTTGAGGTGTTGGCGATGTCAACGTGGAAGAGCTTCAGGTTGACATTCAGTGCCTCCACGATCACCTCATGGTTGTTAGGGTTAAGCACCAGCACCTTCACATTCTACGCAATCAAAAGACGAACCACATTCTGGATTTCTGGCACGTACCGAAGTGTTGGCGATGTCGATGTTGAACAGCTTCAGGTTGACGTTAAGTGCCTCCACGATCACCTAGTGGTTGTTAGGGTTAACCACCATAACGGATGTACCACATTTCAAGGCCTCTACTACATACCGAAGTGTTGGCAATGTCGACGTTGAAGAGCTTGAGGTTGACATTCAGCGCCTCCACGATCACCTTGTGGTTGTTAGCGTTAACCGCCAGAGGCCCCGAGCCGAAGGAGGTACCAGGATGAGTCATGTTCTAGGGTTTCTGGCACGTACCGAAGTGTTTGCAATATCAACATTGAAGAGCTTCAGGTTGACATTGAGCGCCTCCACGATCACCTCGTGGTTGTTAGGGTTAACCACCAGCGCCTTGACATCCGCCTTGCCGTTTGCCTTGACCTTGAAGTTGTTGAAATCAAACAGAAGGTTCCCAGAAGTTCCAAAGTTCAGCTGCTTCAAATCCACCTTGAGGATTTCGAACTTTGGGTCCTGCAGTGCACGTGATGGGAGGAGGCGGAGGAGTGGTGGGGGAAAGAGGAACGGAAGAGGTGAGTTTGGCCCACCTTGAGGATTTCAACCGTGGACCCTGTGATGCACGTGATGGGGAGGAATGAGCGGGGAGGTGTAGGAAGAGGAGGGGAAGAGGTGAGGTTGGTCCCTTAAAAGAGGAGTTGAATGTAAGGAGAGCAGATTCTAAAGAGCAGGTGGGGAACATGAGGGCCTTCTAGGATGGTGAAGGACGGCTAGTACCTCGGTGTTGAAGGTGAGGAAGAGGATGAGAATTGCCAAGTTTTGAGGGCGCCTCAAAACTGGACTTCTAGGACGGTTAAGGACCCCTATACCTCGGTGTTGAAGGTGAGGAAGAGGATGAGAATTGCCAGGGCGAAGCAATGTGAGTCCCTTGTCACTATACGGCGCACTCCTAAAAAAAAATAACCCCTAAAAGACGCGAGGAGAGGCATGTCTCGGTGGGGGAAAACGGCCTACCTCGCTGTTGAAGGTGAGAGCTAGGATGAGAATCACCAGGCCGAACCCCACGAGCGCCAGAGACACCACGAGGCCCGTCCACGCGGCAATGTGGGTTTCGTCCTACTGATTGGCCAAGAGCGAGAGCAGTGAACATGTACCTCGGTGTTGAAGGTGAGGGCGAGGATGAGAATGGCCAGGCCGAACCCCACGAGCGCCAGCGACACCACAAGGCCCGTCCACGCAGCAACGTCGCACCACCCGCAGCCTCGTCGCCGCGCGCCCGCGCCCTTCCCCGCGCTGGCTTCCGCCTTCCGCTGCGCCTTCATTAGGTCCGCCGCTGACGGCTGGAAGAGGGGAAGAGAACGGGGAAAAGGGGAGGGGAGGGGGAAATGGGGGAAGAAGGAAGAGAACGGAGGAAGGGGGAGTCAGGTAAGAACGAAGGATGGAGGGAATGTGGGGAAGGCAGTAAGGGGGCAGGAAGGGGCAGGGAGAGGACGACAGGTAAGGAAGGAGTCTGGTAAGAACGAAGGACGGAAGGCATGTGGGGAGGGGACGCCCCTGGTGGTGACATACGCGCGCGCGGAAAGGGGAGGCGCCGAAGGGTGGGGAAGGGGGGAGCGGAAGGGCGGGGAAGGGGGACGCGGAAGGGCGGCGAAAGGGGGGCACGGAAGGGAGTGGAATATGGGCGGAAGAAACGCGCTCTCGTTAACGTGGGAACTAAAATGCGAAGAACGGGGCAAGAAACACGAAAAGGCGGAAAGCCTGCATTTTGCGACACCGGCACGCGCGGCACGGCACGAACCTCTTTCAGCTTCGCCTTGGCCGCAGTCGGGGATTCAACGTCAGACATTAATATCGACCCCGACCCTGGCGTCCCCGCCGTTCCCGCAGCCCCGCCAAGCTCCTCGTCGTACCCCATGTTGACAGGGTGCCCTCAGTCAACTCAAGATGGCTCAGTCAAAGGCGGCTCAAAGATGGTTCCTTAGCCCAGTCAACTCAAAATGTTTGCCGAGTCGCCTCAAGATGTTGCCCAGCGCAAACCTACTAGCACGTTTCTGCTTATTCTATTAATCCTCGCAAACCGATTCGGTAAAGGCAACGTTAGTCTCGCACGCTAAACAAGGCTCAGGTTTCTGCAGAGTGGCGCGGAGGATGAAGGTTCTTGTTGCTCGCTAGGTGCTAGAAATTGCCGGGGCGCGACGAGCAATCTTTCTCGCAAATTCTAGTACGCAAAAGGGACACCTCAGAGTGATGTTCTTAGAAAAGAATGACGAGTGCCAGCTCATTAGCTCATCTGCTGTTCACTCCTCAAAGTCATGGGAGGTACCTCACGCGATTTTCGCTGCTGAGAAGTAGCGTCTGGCCGACCGACGGAAAGTCGACGATTTTGGTTGGTCGGCTCGTTTTGCGCGGGTGGGGCGCGTTGGAGTTGGGGGGCGCGTTGGAGGTTGAGAAGAGTGGCGACGACGACGAGCCACATCAATAGATTCGATGATGAGCGATTTGAGCGACGAGCCGAACCGAGTGGTTTTGAGGTGAGGTCGGGGGGAAAGATGCAGCGGGAGGTTTCGGGCAAGGGGGAGGGTAAGCAAGGGGAACGAAGGCTCGGCTCGGCCGGGTTTGAGAATCTGGTTCGAGCAGATTAGGGCGTGTAAAGTTGTAACGATCAAAGGCAACGGTCGAATTTTTACGCGTTTCTGACGATTGCGAGGAAGGAGGGTTACGCCGATTCGAATAGTCACACCGATCTTTCATGGTATTTTCTGCCTTGAGATTTGAGGCGGGGCTCGCTTAGGCGTTACACATTTCGCACTCAACTGAAACGCGCAAATGATCGATCATCTGGTTTTGGTGTTACAGTTTTACACGCCCTTATGTTGAATGGTCTCCATGATGCGGGCGCTGAAAATGGAGGAAATTCCACGAGTTGTTGGGCGAAGTCGCGAGAAATCATGAGCGTTTGACGAAAAGTGCACCTAATAGAGGCTAGCGATCTGGCGAATTGACGAAAGACCAGAAATGGTTCGGCACAATTGCTTGGGGAGAGAGGCTGGGCTTGGCGGGTCAAATCACTAGGCGAGGGGGGCCTTCCCCCGAGCCGGCCTGTGTGCACCCCACACCTCCGAAGCACGTCCGATAAATCGGGGCCGAAGCGACAGGAGGAGCTGGTTCGGCAAAACAGTTGTTTTGGACGACGCGACATCGGTGGCTGACGGCGGAGGAGAGCGTCGCATCTCGATATTCCAATCGCAGATCAGATCGCAAGTCGGTGGAGCCATGTGGGGCGAGTGACTTCTACGAAGGTCCCATTAACCATAGCCCGTTAGACAGCTTCTCGGTAGCGTGCAAATAAGTTCACCAATGAGAGACAGCATAATGTTAAAACTAGAGAACATAATGCAGTATATTCTGAGGCGATGGTATTCCTGTTCTGGTGCCATTTGGTAGAAAATCGACGAAACTTATAAGTGGCGAAAATCAGTGGTGGGGCTTTCAACGCAGAGTTCATCTGTATGCGTTCCGCGAATGCTCTTAGCAGGCACAACATCTCTGTTCAGCGCACTGCGGATTGGGTTTTCTTTGACCACTCATCAAGTGACACTCGGGAACAGGCCAAACACGCGGCGTCTTGGAGGCCGCAGAAGTGTTATCATTGGCCGTCGTGAGACACTCTTTTCTCGTCACTCTCCCAGGTTATGTCGAACACCTCGACGCTGAAATCGGTTCCCAAGCCCGAACACCGAACCGTAACAACTGGTCTGGGTTTGGTAATGAAGTGGCGGGAACAGCCGTGAAGTTTCAGGCTTGGTACCTGCCGAGGCCGCCCTACCTTGAAACTTACTGCCTGTGAAGTTCGGAAGTACAAGCACGAGCCTGGGGTTCAGGCTCGCCTCCCTGATCGAGGACGCCGGTTCGACTCGTACATAGTTCCAGACAGTGAGCGATAGATGATAGCTGTCATGATTCTGAGTTTTAGGGACTTAACCGCCACCTGCTCATGTAGGAACTCATTTCTTCGGTCTAGGGATTGTAGTAAGAGCTTACCTTGAATAGCGATTCTTCCGAACCTCTCGCGGAAGCTTAGTATCGCCAACTCGCAAAACTTCATCGGCACGCATTATCCATTTGTGAGACCTTCGAACCGCGAGTACCCCGAATCGGCTCTAAAAACGGTTCCTGAGACGTGTCAAAACCTAAACGATCCGCAGAACCGATACAAGAAGGACCCCAATGAGGCTGCTCTAGTCGGTCCGTTGCTGCGGCATCCGCGTTATCGGTTTGCCCTTCTCAACGGATTACGACCACTGCAGACCGTTCTTCAACCCTTATCCGCGCCAATTTGGCTCAATAGTGGATATCTGCCTCTAGGGGGACTGCTCAAGTCCCCGATACCAAGACAGGATCTAACGGCTTCGGAAGACCAAATTCAGCGGCTCTGGAAGATCGGACGGCTGGAGAGGGCTGATCCAAGGACGGCGATCTGGCGTCGGCACGCGCTGCAGGGCGGGATGATGAGGAGGGGTTAGTCAGAAGGCGGGACGATGGGGAGGGGCCGACTAGAAGGCAGGACGATGGCGGGAAGGGGGTAGCGAGAAGGCTGGTGGGGAAATGGATGGCCCAGTTGCCAGAAGAGCAGCGGTCGAAGCTCTTCAGCGGCATGGCCGGCGCTGGCGCAGGTGAGATTGTTTAGTCGATTCAAAAAGTGACCAGAAGGCTGGACGATGGCGGGAATGGGGAAGTGATCACTTCCCCCCACTTCGCCCTACTTCCCCCTCCGCCCCTCTTCAGGAGCTGTAGCCGCCACGCTTGTAGCGCCGGTAGACGTGGTCAAGACAGTCCCCCTTCATGCCTCCTCTCACATTCCCCCCTCGTCGCTCCCCCCTGTCCAGGAGCTGTAGCCGCCACGTTTGTAGCGGCACTAGACGCGGTCAAGAGCTTTTCCCCCACCGTTCTGCACCCCTCTCCCCTCCCCTCCTCCCTGTCCAGGAGCTGTAGCCGCCACGTTTGTAGCGCCGCTAGACGTGGTCAAGACCCGCCTGCAAGTGATGGGCGCACCACAAGCCTCCACGTCAGCAGCAGGGGGAACAGCAGCAGCTAGCGCGAGGCCATTAGCAGCGCCAACAGGAGGAGGGGCAGCAGCAGCAGCAGCATCTGCCTCCCCGCCGCCGTTCGCTCGGATAGCGACTGTGCTTGCCACTCCCCCGTCCGCGTCCGCAGCCGCCGCGGCAGCAGAAGCAGCGCGAGGGGCGGGAGGATCAGGGGGATTAGGAGCAGGGGGAGCGGGGGGAGCAGCAGTGGGGGGAACAGGCGCGGGGGGAAAAGCAGCAGCGGCGGGGAGGCGGTGGCGCATGGGCGTGATAGCGGGGTCCCTCCAGACCATCTGGCGCACGGAGGGCCTGAGAGGGCTGTACCGCGGGCTCTCCCCCACCATGGTGGCTTTGCTGCCCAACTGGGCGGTGAGTGAATGGATGGGAATGACACAATGAGGTTCAGATGGAATGAGAGGTGGCATGCACGAGAGACACGCAAGGCACGGAGGGTCTGAGGGGGCTGTACCGAGGGCTGTCCCCGTCCCCCACCATGGTGGCTCTGCTGCCCAACTGGGCGGTGAGTGCTTTCACATTGGTCTCTATCACTCCGCCAATGTGAAGCAGGGTTAAAATAAAAGACCGTTTTTTTTTAATTTCACCGTAAATAACGGTACCGTAAATAACTGGTTAAAACGGTTCCTGGAGGGGATTTTTGTTTGAAGAAAAGTTCGGCCATTTTAAGGGACCAAATTGACGGCGAAAAGCAGCAGGATGAAGAGGACGAACCCCTTCTTGCATGTATGGTTCGTCCTCTTCGCATACATTCTTGCATGTATGGTTCGTCCTCTTCGCATACATTCTTGCATGTATGGTTCGTCCTCTTCGCATACATTCTTGCATGTATGGTTCGTCCTCTTCGCATACATTCTTGCATGTATGGTTCGTCCTCTTCGCATACATTCTTGCATGTATGGTTCGTCCTCTTCGCATACATTCTTGCATGTATGGTTCGTCCTCTTCGCATACATTCTTGCATGTATGGTTCGTCCTCTTCGCCTTGCATGTATGGTTCGTCCTCTTCGCATACATTCTTGCATGTATGGTTCGTCCTCTTCGCATACATTCTTGCATGTATGGTTCGTCCTCTTCGCATACATTCTTGCATGTATGGTTCGTCCTCTTCGCATACATTCTTGCATGTATGCGTTTGTGGTCATGATTGAGAATGGAACCGACCTTGTTTTTGCCTTTTTTTTTCTTCGTGACAAGAGTGTTCTCTAACAAAAAAACGGCTGTATCTTTGAAAAAAAATACCGTAAAAAACGGACCGTAATAATCGGTCCGTTTTTTTACGAGAACCTTGATGTGAAGAGGTGTGATTCGTCAGTGATAGATAGAGTTGTCTCACCGTCAGGTGTACTTGGTCTCAAGAGAGGTGTACGACCATTCAAAGCGGATATGAAGGCAGCTAGTCGCGGCTGAGGTGTCGTTCCTTTCTCTAATGAATCCTCCTCTTCCCCTCTCTCATCCATCTCCTTCACCCCCTTTCTTGTTCGCTTTCTCTTCCACTCTGCCAGGTGTACTTTTCAGTGTACGACCATTTAAAGAGGATGCTAAGCGAGCCGAGTCATTCAGGCGCAGGTGAGCTTTTAATCGGCTTTAATGCAGTCATAGTGATTGAAACGGATTGGTTGTGACACACAGCTAGCACGAGCTTTGAACTAGAATGCCAATAACGCGGATACTGTAGCGAGTGCATTCCCTCAGGCGCAGGTGAGGTGATTGAAGCGATTTGTGATGTGCTAGTATGAACTGTGACTATATCTGATGAAGCCTTTAGTTTTGGTGGTGTGGCAATTAATAGCTAAAATTGGACTGTTCTCATCACCTGTGCCACCACCCAGTTCCCAGCAGCCACGAAGAATCACCAGAACAGGGTTCAGAGCAGCAGGAGCAGCAGGAGGAGGGGCAGGAGGGGCAACAGGCAAGGCCACAGCAGCAGCAGCAGCAGCAGCAGCAGCAGCAGCAGCAGCAGCAGCAGCAGCTGTCGCTGGGGCGAAGTGTGTTGGCAGCAGCAGGAGCAGGCACGGCCACCGTCCTCGCCACCAACCCTCTGTGGGTCGTCAAGACGAGGCTGCAGGTGAGTGAGTGCTGAGGTGTCTGCATTGTTTGTGTGTCGTCAAAGAAACAGCAGGAGGGGCAGGCACGGCACGGCCACAGCAGCAGCAGCAGCAGCAGCAGCAGCAGCAGCAGCAGCAGCTGTCGCTGGGGCGAAGTGTGTTGGCAGCAGCAGGAGCAGGCACAGCTACTGTCCTCGCCACCAACCCCCTGTGGGTCGTCAAGACGTGGCTGCAGGTGAGTCTGCTTCGAGTTGGAGGTACAGGAACTAGGGAATAATCAAACCCTGTGGACTTCTCAAAGCAGCAGGAACAGGCATGGCGAACGTCCTTGCCACCAACCCCCTGTGGGTCGTCAAGACGTGGCTGCAGGTGAGTCTGTCTGTTCGAAGCTCTAGGTGCAGGAAACTACAGGAAATCATCAAGCGTTGAGAGACGTAGCAGCAGAGCAGGCACGGCAAACGTCTTCGCCACCAACCCCCTGTGGGTCGTCAAGACGAAGCTGCAGGTGAGTCTTTTGGGAAATCGACCTACAGAGAACAAAGATTTTTCCTGCCTTGAGACGTCTCAAAGCAACACGAGACTGCTGGTGAGCCTTGGGCCTTGAGACGTCTCAACCCATCCCATTGCCAATCTCCCCTCTTCCCCCTTTCAACCCGAAACCCACCCAACCCCACTTCCCCTCTCTGCCCTCTTCCCCCGCTTCTCCTCTTTCCCATCTTCAATCGCTTCCCAATTTCCCCTTCACCCCCACCTCTTCAGTCATCAGAGCCAAAGCATGCGAAGCACAAACCAACAGACGACCTTGCAGGGAGAAGAAGTGTAGTTTTGAGGCGCCTCAAAACGAGGCGCCTCAAAACGAGACATCATCAGAGCCAAAGCATGCAAACCAACAGGCGGCCTTGCAGGGTGAAGCAATCCTTGCAGTGTCTAAAAACTTCTTGGCCGTGCGGATGTCTAAAAACTTCTTGGCCGTGCGGATGTCTAAAAACGTCTTGGCCGTGCGGATGTCTAAAAACCCCCTGATTCCATCCTGTTGTCCCGTATCCCCCCTCCCTCTTCCCCCTCCCCTCCCCCGCCGTTCACCCTTTTCAATCGCCAGACTCAAGCCATGCGGACCAACAGGCGGCCCTACAGGGGAACGTTTTCCGCCCTTGTGCGGATCACCAGAGAGGAAGGGCTGGGGGAACATTTTTGAGAATTTTCAAAAGAGAGGAAGGGCTGGGGGAACACTTTTGAGAATTTTCAAAAGAGAGGAAGGGCTGGGGGAACACTTTTGAGAATTTTCAAAAGAGAGGAAGGGCTGGGGAAATGTAAACCCGTTCCTCCCATCCCACTGCCCATCTCCCTACCCACACAACCCCCTCTTTCCCTCTCCCCCCTCCCCTCTCCCCTCCATCAATCACCAGACTCAAGCCATGCGGACCAACAGGCGGCCCTACAAGGGAACGTTTTCCGCCCTTGTGCGGATTACAAGAGAGGAAGGGCTGGGGGGGCTGTACAGGTGAGATGGGGGGGAGTTTGAAAGAGGGAGAGTGAGGAAGGTGCATGGGGATGGGGAGAGACGTGATGCGTATGAGTGAGCTTTTTCCGCCCTTGTGCGGATCACCAGAGAGGAAGGGTTGGGGGGGGTTGTACTGGTGAGACGGAGGGAGGAGAAGAGGAGGGAGAGGGGAAGGGCTGGGAGGGCTGTACAGATGAAGGGAGGGACAGGGAGGGGGAGATGACTTTTGAGAGGGGGAGGGAAGGGGAAGGGAGGGGCAGGGAGGGGGAGATGACTTTTGAGTCGACTCACAGATGAAGGGAGGGACAGGGAGGGGGAGATGACTTTTGAGTCGACTCACAGATGAAGGGAGGGACAGGGAGGGGGAGATGACTTTTGAGTCGACTCACAGATGAAGGGAGGGACAGGGAAGGGGAGAGGGGGAGGGGCAGGAAGGAGGGGCAGGGAGAGGAGAGGAGGAGGGGGAGGGGGAGGAGGGGCAGGGAGAGAGGAGGTGGACATGTTTTCACCCTCCTCTTCAGAGGACCTGGACTTGAGCGGACTTCTGAAGTCTCTCTCTCTCTCTCAAGTCTCTCTCTCTCTCTCAAGTCTCTCTCTCTCCCTCTCTCGCTCTGCTCTGCTTGGTTGGTGCGTGTGAGCAGTGGGGTGGTGCCAGCACGGGCAGGCATAAGCCACTGTCTTGGAGTCAATCCAACGCAACAGACAGCAAAGCCTCTCAATGTCTCTTTACCTTGTCTCTCTCTATGTGTGCCCGGTTTCTTGTTGGTGGTGCGTGTGAGCAGTGGCGTGGTGCCGGCACTGGCAGGCATAAGCCATGTGGCCATCCAGTTCCCCATGTACGAGTATATCAAGCAGCAGATGGCGTGCAGAGGTGAGAAAATGGCGGGAAAAGGTGAGCACGGGTTTTGTGTTCTCTGAGTTAGGGCCGGCATGAGGCAGGGTGCACTAGCAGGGTGCACTAGCAGGGTGCACTAGCAGGGTGCACTAGCAGGTATCAGTCATGTGGCAATCCAGTTCCCCATGTATGAGTATATCAAGCAGCAGATGGCGTGCAGAGGTGAGAAAATGGCGGGAAAAGGTGAGCAGGGGTTTTGTGTTCTCTGAGTTAGGGCCGGCATGAGGCAGGGTGCACTAGCAGGGTGCACTAGCAGGGTGCACTAGCAGGGTGCACTAGCAGGTATCAGTCATGTGGCAATCCAGTTCCCCATGTATGAGTATATCAAGCAGCAGATGGCGTGCAGAGGTGAGAAAATGGCGGGAAAAGGTGAGCAGGGGTTTTGTGTTCTCTGAGTTAGGGCCGGCATGAGGCAGGGTGCACTAGCAGGGTGCACTAGCAGGGTGCACTAGCAGGTATCAGTCATGTGGCAATCCAGTTCCCCATGTATGAGTATATCAAGCAGCAGATGGCGTGCAGAGGTGAGAAAATGGCGGGAAAAGGTGAGCAGGGGTTTTGTGTTCTCTGAGTTAGGGCCGGCATGAGGCAGGGTGCACTAGCAGGGTGCACTAGCAGGGTGCACTAGCAGGGTGCACTAGCAGGTATCAGTCATGTGGCAATCCAGTTCCCCATGTATGAGTATATCAAGCAGCAGATGGCGTGCAGAGGTGAGAAAATGGCGGGAAAAGGTGAGCAGGGGTTTTGTGTTTTCTGAGTTAGGGCCGGCATGAGGCAGGGTGCACTAGCAGGGTGCACTAGCAGGGTGCACTAGCAGGGTGCACTAGCAGGTATCAGTCATGTGGCAATCCAGTTCCCCATGTATGAGTATATCAAGCAGCAGATGGCGTGCAGAGGTGAGAAAATGGCGGGAAAAGGTGAGCAGGGGTTTTGTGTTCTCTGAGTTAGGGCCGGCATGAGGCAGGGTGCACTAGCAGGGTGCACTAGCAGGGTGCACTAGCAGGGTGCACTAGCAGGTATCAGTCATGTGGCAATCCAGTTCCCCATGTATGAGTATATCAAGCAGCAGATGGCGTGCAGAGGTGAGAAAATGGCGGGAAAAGGTGAGCAGGGGTTTTGTGTTCTCTGAGTTAGGGCCGGCATGAGGCAGGGTGCACTAGCAGGGTGCACTAGCAGGGTGCACTAGCAGGTATCAGTCATGTGGCAATCCAGTTCCCCATGTATGAGTATATCAAGCAGCAGATGGCGTGCAGAGGTGAGAAAATGGCGGGAAAAGGTGAGCAGGGGTTTTGTGTTCTCTGAGTTAGGGCCGGCATGAGGCAGGGTGCACTAGCAGGGTGCACTAGCAGGGTGCACTAGCAGGTATCAGTCATGTGGCAATCCAGTTCCCCATGTATGAGTATATCAAGCAGCAGATGGCGTGCAGAGGTGAGAAAATGGCGGGAAAAGGTGAGCAGGGGTTTTGTGTTTTCTGAGTTAGGGCCGGCATGAGGCAGGGTGCACTAGCAGGGTGCACTAGCAGGGTGCACTAGCAGGGTGCACTAGCAGGTATCAGTCATGTGGCAATCCAGTTCCCCATGTATGAGTATATCAAGCAGCAGATGGCGTGCAGAGGTGAGAAAATGGCGGGAAAAGGTGAGCAGGGGTTTTGTGTTTTCTGAGTTAGGGCCGGCATGAGGCAGGGTGCACTAGCAGGGTGCACTAGCAGGGTGCACTAGCAGGTATCAGTCATGTGGCAATCCAGTTCCCCATGTATGAGTATATCAAGCAGCAGATGGCGTGCAGAGGTGAGAAAATGGCGGGAAAAGGTGAGCAGGGGTTTTGTGTTCTCTGAGTTAGGGCCGGCATGAGGCAGGGTGCACTAGCAGGGTGCACTAGCAGGGTGCACTAGCAGGGTGCACTAGCAGGTATCAGTCATGTGGCAATCCAGTTCCCCATGTATGAGTATATCAAGCAGCAGATGGCGTGCAGAGGTGAGAAAATGGCGGGAAAAGGTGAGCAGGGGTTTTGTGTTTTCTGAGTTAGGGCCGGCATGAGGCAGGGTGCACTAGCAGGGTGCACTAGCAGGGTGCACTAGCAGGGTGCACTAGCAGGTATCAGTCATGTGGCAATCCAGTTCCCCATGTATGAGTATATCAAGCAGCAGATGGCGTGCAGAGGTGAGAAAATGGCGGGAAAAGGTGAGCAGGGGTTTTGTGTTCTCTGAGTTAGGGCCGGCATGAGGCAGGGTGCACTAGCAGGGTGCACTAGCAGGGTGCACTAGCAGGGTGCACTAGCAGGTATCAGTCATGTGGCAATCCAGTTCCCCATGTATGAGTATATCAAGCAGCAGATGGCGTGCAGAGGTGAGAAAATGGCGGGAAAAGGTGAGCAGGGGTTTTGTGTTCTCTGAGTTAGGGCCGGCATGAGGCAGGGTGCACTAGCAGGGTGCACTAGCAGGGTGCACTAGCAGGTATCAGTCATGTGGCAATCCAGTTCCCCATGTATGAGTATATCAAGCAGCAGATGGCGTGCAGAGGTGAGAAAATGGCGGGAAAAGGTGAGCAGGGGTTTTGTGTTCTCTGAGTTAGGGCCGGCATGAGGCAGGGTGCACTAGCAGGGTGCACTAGCAGGGTGCACTAGCAGGTATCAGTCATGTGGCAATCCAGTTCCCCATGTATGAGTATATCAAGCAGCAGATGGCGTGCAGAGGTGAGAAAATGGCGGGAAAAGGTGAGCAGGGGTTTTGTGTTTTCTGAGTTAGGGCCGGCATGAGGCAGGGTGCACTAGCAGGGTGCACTAGCAGGGTGCACTAGCAGGTATCAGTCATGTGGCAATCCAGTTCCCCATGTATGAGTATATCAAGCAGCAGATGGCGTGCAGAGGTGAGCAGATGCATGTGAGTTGGCATAATGGGTCTGTTCAGGCAGGGATAAGGATAAGGGGGGGGGCAGAGGGGGAATGCCAGTACCGCGGCGTTCTCTTAAAACCTGCTCTCGCTTTCTCTTCCCTTTCCTCCTTCCCTACCTCCCTATCTCTCCTCATCCCCTCGCTATCTCTCCCTCCTCACTCTCTAACTCTCCTTACTCCCTCCCTATCCTTCCCAATCCCACTTCCCGTCTCGCGGAGCAGAAGGGTCAACCACAGACACCCTAACGGCCTTCCAGCTAGCAGCAGCCTCTGCCATTTCCTTTTCAGACATCTCACCTCCCCTTCCTCCCTCCCTCCCTCCCCATCCCACTTCCCATCTCGCGGAGCAGAAGGGTCAACCACAGACACCCTAACGGCCCCCCAGCTAGCAGCAGCCTCTGCCATCTCTAAAGTCTTTGCCTCAACACTCACATACCCCCACGAGGTAAGCCCCCAGCCAGGCCTATCCTGTGGTGCATTGCAATCCCCAAGCTATAAGGTGGTAAGGAAGGCTAAGGGCCCCCAGCTAGCAGCAGCCTCTGCCATCTCTAAAGTCTTTGCCTCAACACTCACTTATCCGCATGAGGTAAGTTCGGATCAGAGACACCCCCATTGGGAATAGCTGCACTGTGTGGTCGCACCAGGCCCCTTCATGTGTTGCAATCTCCACAGTCTTTGCCTCACCACTCACTTATCCGCATGAGGTAAGTTCAGACCTAAGTTGCAAAATACGCTTATAGAGTATATACGCGTATCGTATATACGCTAGCGTATATACGCTATACGCGTAAGGGAGCCATTTGGACATACGCTTTTTGGGGCAGGAAAAAAACTTTCCCGGGCAGGGAAAAAAATCCGCCCGGGCTATTATAGGGGGGGGGGGAATCTAAGGGGTTATGTTTCAGAGGTAAGTTTTTCTCCATTCCAAGATAACCACCCTTGACTCGGCCCAAAATTGGGTTAAGATGCAGAGTTCGTAGGCTATAGACTGCAATAGCGTTGCGCGAATCTGCTCTGCTTCGGGCTCGCGATCACAAGGCATGATTGCTAGAGTGTAGGAGGAGGCGTAGGAGAGATCCTGGACAGGGAAACCATCGCCAATGTTGGAATTCGTGCCCCACACCCATCGCCAATGTTGCCTTAAAAAACAATTCCCCCTCCCATCACCTATCTTCACCGCATTGCATCTATCTCATCCAACCAATTTGATATTTGAAATTTGTACAGTCGTCACGTCACTTCCAGTCCAGATCTACAAGACGTTGATATAGGGAGAGTCTTTCCCCCCATCCCTTCTGCGGGAAGAACCTTCAATCTGCGCGGATCTGCGGGGAAGGGAAATTGCCGATCAGCGCGGAAATTGCCGTTCACTCTCGTCGTGCAATTCCGCATCTTTCCGTATATTCACATTTTTTCGGTCGGGCTGCCCCAAAAAAAATTGGCAAGCGTATAGCGTATTAGCTTGCGTTGAGCGTGTAAACGCTAGCGTATATCCGCTAAATGCACAGTGTCCTGAGCGTATTTTGCAACTTAGGTTCAGACCAGACACCCCCGTCGTAAGCTGCATCGTGTGTTGCAAACTTCAAAAGATTCGCTGCAACAATCATGTATGTGCCTGCGTGCCCACGCATGTGTGTGTGTGTGTGTGCGTGTGTGTGTGTGTGTGTGTGTGTGTGTGTGTGTGTGTGTGTGTGTGTGTGTGTTTAGGCGTCTCAACTATAAATTTCTCTCTCTCTCCTTCCCTTTCCACGCCTCTCAGGTGGTGAGAGCACGGCTTCAAGAGCAGGGGAAGGACTTAGGAAATGCACACCGTTACACAGGCATGGGGGACTGTATAACGCGGGTGAGTGTAGCTCGAGCCTGTAAGTATATTTGTTTATGCTGGCTTCATGTCATCTGGCTTCATGTCATCTGGCTTCATGTCAGCTGGCTTCATGTCATCTGGCTTCATGTCATCTGGCTTCATGTCATCTGGCTTCATGTCATCTGGCTTCATGTCAGCTGGCTTCATGTCATCTGGCTTCATGTCATCTTGCTTCATGTCATCTGGCTTCATGTCAGCTGGCTTCATGTCATCTGGCTTCATGTCATCTGGCTTCATGTCATCTGCCTGTCTTCAGCTGCACCAGATTACGCATTTCTCCTGTTTACCCCTTGTGTTCTGCTATTCGCTTCCCCAAAGTCCCCAGTCCTCTCCTCCTGATTTATTACTTACTAATTGTTGCTATTTTGCGTATTCAAGGAGGAAAACATTCTTGGATTTTATCGGAGCAATTTGGAGATCCAGATTTGTAACAGGCTTAAATCATCTCCTCTCTTTTTTAACCCCTGTTTTTGCCAATTGCCTTACTGTTCAGATATTCAAGGAGGAAGGCATTCGCGGGTTCTATCGGGGTTGTGTGACAAACCTCTTTAGAACCACACCCGCTGCAGTCATCACCTTCACCTCATTCGAGCTCCTCATTCGAACCCTCCCCACCGTCTTCCCTCCTGCGTCCTCAAATGACGAGGACTGTGACTCTTGACTTTTGAGTCGACTCAAAAACCCTGCCCACCGTCTTCCTTCCTGCGTCCTTCCTGAGTCGTTCCGACTTGTATCCTAGTGTTGGTAAGCCCTGTAGCTGCACGGAGATTGGCTGTGCACATGTCAACTGGTGAACACGGGCATATTTACGAAATAGAAGTGCAAGCATGTGTGGCTGGTGCTAAAAACGTCTAGCGGAATAGGTTATTTCTACGTAGTGTATTACCCGCTTGTATGATGACCTTCTAATTGAGAAGCCACTGCTGCGTTTCTGACAGCAAAGAACGCGTCTCGCGAAGCGCAAGTGGAGAACCCATCGGGGTCCTCCATCGAATATTGTGCGAAGCGCAACTTTGAAATTCAGCGAACGAGCCGCATGCAGCAGAGAGTTTCTGCCACAAATTTTCGTTTTTGGTTTCGACGGCGACTCTGATTTCTTGATTCATGACAGAGCGAGGGAACGCATCGATTGCAGAAGTCTACCCCGGGAGACTCTGGCCTGGTGCTTCACAATTCAGCCTAGCCTGTGCCTGCCGCAGTCCGCGCAAAGAGAGTTCGGTCGTTTTCTTCTTACGACAGGCATGAGGCATAGCCATGTGTCCATGTGCTGGATGGTGCTGCTGCTGGATGGACACCACATGAGTCCATGTGTCCATGGGTCTTCTTGTGAGAACCACAGCACCACCAGATGCAGCTGTGCCCACGCGTCGCCCCTCTCTCGCCATCTGGAGTTTCGAATCGCATGCCCTCAGGAACCTCTGCTGTTTCACCTGCGCTTTCGCTTAGTCGCAACTTTACGAGAGCTACGCTCAAACCTCGTGCTGTCGAATAACCATTATAAATTTCAGGGTCGTCGCTCTAGGATAAAGAGATCGGAATCAGTGATTACTAGTAGAGAGCTTCAACAGGAGGTCCTCAGGTAGTGAACCCGTCGCTTGCAATTTAGATTTAGGTGCAATCAGGTCTGCCATTGGATCATCGTCGGCGAGAGAACGACCGACGCGACCGTCGTCACAAGCATCTGTTCCGACGTCGCCAGATTCTCGAATCTCCCGCTAAGGAGTCCCTTGCGCTGAAATTGAAACGGCCTTTTACAGACGCCATGGCTTCTCGTCGCAGGTCCAGTCGGCAACGCTCAGATTTGCACCAATCCCACCTTTCGCGCCGTATGCTTTCGCTCCTCCTCGCCTTTCCACTTATCGCTGCAGCCTCCGCAGCTCTCTTCTCGCTCCCCGCATCTCCCGCCGTCCGCTCAAGCCCCGCATCCCATCTGCGATCCGCAGCAGACGGATCCCACGCGCATTTCGAAGCGCTGGTACCGTGGAGCGTCGGAAACGAAAACACGACGGTCGTTAATAACACTGCGACTCGAACCCCGACAGTATCTCCGTTTCACGTCTTTCGCGCTCCGTTCGCCATAAACCTCATCGAGATCCCCGAGAAACGCGATCCGGAAATTCTGGATCTTGAGCTTGTGGACACATCAGACCCTACGGATGCTGACGCGGGAGATATCGCATGGCTGGAGGACGCGATAAGAGCAGACGCGATATATCTAGAAGAAACGGCGGTGAGGAGCACGAAAGGCATGGCCCCTGCCACGAATACGTTACCGGATCATCTGGATCATTCCATCTTCGCGAAAAACGAAGTGGAGGGGATGGAGGCGGAGGGGGAGGGGATGGAGGCGGAGGGGGAGGGGATGGAGGCGGAGGGGGAGGGGATGGAGGCGGGGGGGGAGGGGGAGGAGGCGGAGGGGGAGGGGGAGGAGGAGGAGGGGGAGGGGGCGGAGGCGGAGAAGGGCGGCAACGGGGAGCTTGCGGCCCCGCTGCACGTGTTTCGAGCAGCCGACGGCTCGTTGCAGGAGGAACCCGAAATCAGCGACGGCGACCTGATGGTGGTCGGCAGCCTAGACGCGCTGTACTACGAGGAAGTGGCTGTGCGGACACGCGCAGCAGTCGCTCAGACACGTGCACCAGTTGCACGGCCACGTGCTTCACTCATCCAGACACGTGCACCACACGCGCGGGAAAGCATACTTTTTCAGGGAGTAGCGGCGGAAAAGCGGGGCCAAGCGGCTGGTTTCTTCAGGTCGTTTCATGTTTTCCGGGCAGATAACGGCTCGCTTGTGGAATTAACAGAACACGAAGCTGTTCTGACGTCGGCGGACGGAGTCCTTTCACCACTGACGGAAGTAAACAGGATTCCATTGACGGAGCTTGACGAAATTTCGTCAGCAGAGCTCGTCCGCATGCTCCAGCAAGAGTTTCCAGTCCGTTTCCGTCCGTCATCTCCATCCATTTCTTTGACGAAGATTAGACGGAGACTGAGATTGTCTCATGACAAACGGATTGAGATCGTCTACGAAAACACAGGAAGCCATAGGGTAGAAGAAGCGACAGGGGAGGAAGACGAGGAAGAGGAGGAGGTGGAGGAGGAGGAGCAAGAGCACGTGCGTCCCGTACACGTGTTTTGGAGAGATGATGGGGCATTACACGAGGAGGAAGAAGATAGCACTACTAGCCATTTGACACGATACGATGGAGGAGGTGAGGACGATGATGAGGTGGCAGGTTTGGGAAATGCGGGCTGGAGAGAGGCAGCGGTCGATGCGGCGTTTGGTGCGGCGGTTGATGCGGTAGCGGAAGCGGAGCTGGAGTATGAGTTGGAATTCGCGGTGCGTACCAGGAGGGCAATGGCTATTGGCGTTGGCGGTGATGAGGCCTAGACCGTGCGAAACCACGTTAGGAACAAAAAGGAGTGTATCTCTAATTGTTTGTGTATTGTAGTCAATGCTGTTTGTAACGAATTTAGATGGCACACGGATGAAGGGATCTGCACCTTATGATTCTTTAGGAACTAAGCAAGATGTTGCACAGAATGTGACAAACATGGTCTGCACTCCCTTACAATACATCGCAGCAGTTATGCTGAAATTTATTGATCAAGCAAAGGAAAATGAAGAGCTTAGCTAGCTTAGAACAAAAGCATCTACTAAATCTGTGACCAACCCTAAGTGTATCCTCTTATACGAGGAGACAGTACAGTCTAGGCAGCGAATCTGCAAGTCAGTGAACCAACGAAAATCAGCATTGTTAGCAAATCAGGTAAGGTTGTCGCCGTGCCGGCCGAACCAAATCAGAGGCACAAACACACGCCATAAAATGTGCGCCAACCAACCACGCTCCCAACCAATCCGCAGAGCGACCACTCTTCTATCGAGCATGGAGTAGAGTTCATTCTCCATAAGCACTCTCCAGACAAGAATTCTCTCACACCAGCGCCTTATTCCCAGTCCATACATCCCATCCATCCACTCCACATACTCCCATCACCGTTCTCAAAGGATGACTTTTTAAGGCGAATGGTTCTTTTGTGTTGGCACTGCAGTGAACTGATGTGATGCCCATCCGCCCGTGTCCTATTGGAGCCCTGAAGGCAAGGCGAGACGGAGGGCAGTGTAGTACAGTAACGATACTTTAACAACGGCACAGAGAGAGCTTGAGGGAAAGAAAAAAGAAAAAAAGGAAAAAGAAAAAAAAAAAAAAAAACAGGGACGGAAAAGATACTCAATTCGTACTTCAGAAACTGATTAATACCTCTAAGCACCCATCCATACCTCTTGCTTCTCTTCACTCTGCTCCAGGCTCCTTCTCTTTATCAATTTTCAATCCCAGCTCCAGAGTCCACTGGGTACTATTTTTGAGGCGCCTCAAAATCACGCTCCTGTTTCTTTAGCTAAACGGCCACTACACTCCAACTATGCTCCAACCCTTTTCTCCTCCTTGCCACCAGCTACTTCTACTGCTATTACAATCGATACTAGCTCACATTCCTTATACTTGGCTGTATACTGCTGCTACAGCTGCTCCTACTACAGCTGCTTCTGCTACAGGAAAGTCTACAGCCGCTTCTGCATATGCTGCCTGCTGCTGGTGCTGCTGCAGCCCTATTTACAAGCTCGATTTCCCTACAGCTAGCTGCTGAATCCGTCTCTTATCTCGCAAAATCCGCCCCAGCAGGCATCGAACCAAGATGCACGTTACCCGGCACACCCTAGCTCTCGTCATGCCGCATGTCCACCTGCCCTCCTTACCCATCTAGCTGTTAATCGTCCTTATGTTGCATGCACAGTACCCATCACACCCTAACTCTCCTGCCGCATGTCCACCCGCCCTTCAGCACTCGCTTTACCACCCTCTACCCTTCCACTAACCACCCCGTGTGCTGCCCCCGGCCCTTCCCCATCTATATCCATCCTCTCGCCACCATTCTTATTCCCATCCCCACCCCCCTTCTTCCCATTCCCCATCTCCCCATCCGCGTTTTCCCCATCTACATCCATTCTCTTGAGTTCCTCCTTGGCCCTTCCCTCCTTTTCCCCTGCTGCTACTCCTGAGGCTGTCCCTGTTCCTACTCCCAAGCCATGCTGCTTAATTTCTCCAGCTGCTGCCGCTGGTGCTGCTACTGGTGTTGCTGCTGGTGCTGCCACTAGTATTGTTGCTGCTGCTGCTGCTGCTGCTGCTGCTGCTGCCACTGGTGTTGCCACTGTCGTTGGTGCTGCCACCGGTGCTGCCGCTGGTGCTGCTGCTGCTGCTGAGGCTGGTGCTTCTGCTGGTAGTGCTGCCGCTAGTGCTGCTGCTGCTGGTGGTGGTGCTGCCACCAGTGCTGCCGCTGGTGGTGCTGCCGCTAGTGCTGGTGCTGGCGCTGTCACTTCAGCTGCTATTGGTGCTGCCCCTTCTGCCACCTGCTTCTCTCCCTCCCCTCCCTTCTTCTCTCCCTTCCCCCCCTTCTTTTCTCCTTCCTTCTTCTCTCCCTCCCCATCCTTCTTTTCTCCCGCCTCTCCCTTCTTTTCTCCTTCCTTCTTCTCTCCCTCCCCATCCTTCTTTTCTCCCTCCTCTCCCTTCTTTTCTCCCTCCTCTCCCTTCTTTTCTCCTGCCTTTTTCTCTCCCTCCCCATACCTCTTTTCTTCCTCCCCTCCCTTCTTCTCTCCTTCCCCATCCTTCTTTTCTCCCTCCCCGCCCTTCCTCTCTTCCTCTGCTGCTGCTTCCACTGCATGCAATGCAGCAGCAGTCACTGATACAGGCGCATCTGTAGCAGCAGTATTTGAAGTAAGTGCAGCTGTGACTGTTGCAGGCGTTACTGTCCCAGGTGTGACTATATCAGGCGCAGCTGTTGCAGCATCAAGTGCAGGTGCAGCAGCTGCAGGTGCAGGTATAGTAGCAGCGGGCACAGCTGCAGCTGTAGCAGCGGCGGGTGCAGCTACTGAGGCGGTTGTAGTAACAGCTGTAGAAGCAGCTGTAGCAGCTGCAGTTGTAGCCGGCACAGCAGGAACAACTGAAGGCGGCTTGACTTGGGAGGCTGCAACTGGAGAGGGTACATCGGAAGAGGGCACTACAGCGGAAGCAGGTGCAACTGGGGGAGGTACAACTGCGGCTTGCGGGGTGATTGGGACAGGCGCGGCTGGCTTGGGAAAGACTTGAGAGGCTGCAACTGGAGCGGGTACACATGAGGAGGGTGCTACAGCGGAAGCAGGCACAACTGGGGTAGGTACAACTGCAGCTTGCGTGGTGACTGCGGCAGATGAGGAGGGTGCTACAGCAGAAGCAGGTGCGACTGGTGGAGGTACAGCTGCAGCCTGAGTTGTAACTGGGGCACATGCGGCTGGCTCAACAGGGAGTTGTGGGGTCTTGGCTGGTGCTTCTGCTGCTGCTGTGGGTGCCGTTGACACTCCTTCCAATGCCCCTCCTTCAACCCCTCCCTCCACCCCTTTCGACTGCACACTTGCTCCACTGGGACTGGCTGTTGCTGTGATTGCTGCGCTTGTAGCTCTGGGTGCAGCTGCTGCTGGTAACAACGCCCCCCCTGCCACCCCTCCCTCCACCCCTTTCGTTTTTGTCTGCACCCGTCCCTCCCCAACCTTCCCTTTCTCCCCTCCCTTTTCCTCTCCCTGTTTCTCCCCCTCCACTCCCCTTTTCTCTCCCTCCTCTCCCTTTTTCTCCCCCTCCACTCCCTTTTTCTCTCCCTCCACTCCCTTTTTCTCTCCCTCCACCCTTTTGATCTGCTCACCTGTCCCCCTGGGACTGGGTGCTGCTGGTGTATCAACATATTGCTTTGCTGTGGCTGTGGGTGTCACCACGGGTGTCACCACAGGTGTCACCGTGGGAGCTATTATGGCTGCGGGTGTCACTGTTAGTGTCACTTCGGGTGTCACCACGGGTGTAACTGTGGGTGTCACTATGGCTGTGGGTGGCACTGTAGGTGTCAATGTAGGCATCACTGTTGGTGTCACCATGGGTGTCACAAAGGTGGGTGTGGTTCCAGTTGTGTTTGTGACTGTAAGCGGTGTGACTGTGGGTGTGGTTGCTTCAGTTCCCGCTAGTGCTGCTACCACTGGTGGTGGTGCTGCAACTGAAAGGGTCGTTCTGGCTGCTCGCTCTGGTGCCGCTGATCGTGCTGCTGTTGCTGGTGGTGCTGCTGCTGCTTGTTCTGGTGCTGTTGGTACCACTGCTGGTACTGACAGCGCTGCTGATGGCGCTGCTTCTGGTGGTGGTGCTGCTGCAAATGTAGGTGCTGCTGCTGCTCGTTCTGGTGCTGCTGATACCGTTGCTGCTGGTACCGTTGCTGCTGGTACCGTTGCTGCTGGCAAAGCTCCTTCTCGAGAAGCTGCCTCTTCAGCTGCTGTTTCCGCAGCAGCAGTCGCTGTGGCAGCAGCCGCAGGCTCTGGTGGTGCTGTCCCTGCTGCCACTGCCGCTGTTCCTGTTGCTGCTGCTGCTGCTTTTGCTGCTGCTGCTTTTGCTGCTGTTGCGACTGCTGCTGCTGCTGTTGCTGCTGCTTTTGCTCCTGCTGCAACTGCTGCTGTTGCTGCTGCTACACTCGTTGCTCCTGGCGCTGCTGCTGACTCTCCTTTAACATCAGAGGGAGCAGGCGTTACAATCGCTACAGGGGGTACAGCAGTTGCTTCCACTGCAGCAGGTGTTACCGCAGGTGCTGCACCAGGCGCTACAGCAGGTGTTGTAGCACGCATTACCGCAGGTGGTACGGCAGGCGTTACAGCAGGTGCTACAGCAGGCATTACCACAGGCGCTACAGCAGGTTCAGCAGGAACTAACGTAGTCGGTACGGAAGGCGCTACAGCAGGCGCAACAGCAGGCGCAACAGCAGGCACAACAGCAGGCGCAACAGCAGGCATTACCACAGGCGCTACAGATGGAGGCGCTGCCTGCGGCAACGGCGCAACTGGCATTCCGAAGGCAGGTGCTACAGGTGCTGCCGAAGGTACAGGCGCTACAGGTGGCACTACAGGTGCTGCCAAAGCTACAGGAGCTACAGGTGGCACTACAGGTGCTGCCAAAGCTACAGGCGCTACAGGTGGCACTACAGGTGCTGCCAAAGTTACAGGCGCTACAGGTGTTGCCGAAGCTACATGCGCTAAATGCGCTGCAGCAGGAGCGGTAGAGGGAGCAGCAGGAGAGGGAGCAGCAGGAGAGGAAGCAGCAGTGGGGGAAACAGAGGTAGGGGGAGCGGCAGCAGTCAAGGGAACGGGAGTAGGGGGAGCAGCAGTGGTGGGGACGGGGTTGAGGGGAACAGGAATGAGGGAAGCTGGAACTGGCGAAACAGGGGTGGGGGGAACGGAGGCGGGGGAAACGGGGATAGGGGGAACGGAGGTGGGGGGAACTGGGGTGGGGGGAACGGGGGTGGGGGGGAGTGGAGCGGGGGGAACAGGGG